TTTTCAACCTTTTTTTTAGTCGTTTGTTTTTTTTTTTATTGGGGCTCAACAAAACTTACATCCCCCGTGTTACTAATTCCCCCCCCCCCCCCCCCCCCCCCCCGCCCTCCTCCGAGGATTGAAGACACAAAATTTCTCATGGAGATTTTGTGTTGTCTGATAGAAGGTTGAACTAATAGATCCATGTATAGTGTACAAAGATGATTGGTTCAACTACTTTGACTCGCTCAATATGTTCATTGCCACTCACGGGGGCCGATTTGAAATTACGAAGTCAACCAAGCTAGTCGAACTTGTGAAGAAACTAGTGAGCTTGAACTATATAGACAGCGCGTTTATATACACCTCGATGACACGGAAGTATGGTAAGTAATTAATCTAAATATTTCCCCTTACAATATGTTCTCCTACCTCTTAAATTTCTCACCATTTCATTATTTCCCGCTTATTTGCACCTGTACTAATATGGCTCCGTCATTATAGAGGAATTTCGGGTGCATCCCAAAGACACCCGTTCGATGGACAACCTATGGGATTTTGCACAAAGGCTTAGCTATATTAACCTGCTAAGCAAAGAGCAACTGAGCACAGGGTTCACCGCTCACAAACTTGCTGTGCCTCGGAAAAAGGCGTACCAAGGCTGGATCCTATAACGGAAAGCCAGAACAAAGGCTACTTGGGGGAGGATTAGGCTAGTTAGGATATTTGTTTTTTAAGTGACGGGAAGTTTTGGAAGACGGACACAGCGAAATGACACTTCGAAAATTATTCAGGATTATGCGACTTATACGGCTCTTTGACGACGACGTCTTTATGCATTGGATGCAGCTATTTCTCTGCTATCAGATATATACCCTGTCGACTATTTTTCTAGAGGGCAGATAATACTTGGGAACGGTCAATCACATGGAGTTTGGTTAATTGGGTTGGTTAATTGGGTTGGTTAATTGGGTTGGTTAATTGGTTGGGTTAATTGGTTGGGATACTCGGTTCGGATACTCAGTTTGGATATTTGGTTGGCATTGGAAATAGGGGCGGGAGACCGAAATTGTAAACAACCCAGCACCCTGAGTGTACCTACGTGCACACACGCCTTAGGAATACATAAATATACTTTTCGAAGCCAATTCCCAATAAAAGTTGATTAATGTGCAAAATCATATGGTAGCAAATATTTTATCAAAAAGGAAAACCTATAGCGATCGTGGCCTATACGATTTGTCGGAAGAAGTGAAAAAAGGGGCTTATATGGTAGAGCCGCTAGACCTTTGAGGTTTATTTAGAGTTAGGTTCTGTAGCTGACCTATCATTAAGCGAGACTTTCCTTGTTACGGTCTAGCTGTACCAGACAGAATCTTAAAATATATATTCCCCAGGTATCACGGACGTCCGATGATCCATAAGGTTCATTCTCTAGGCGTTCCATAATTGAATTAATGGCCGTGGCGGTTAGATATCGGATGAATTTAGAGGAAAGAAATGACGATATCTATTCAACACTTCATAAAAAGTTTAGTTACCTAGGTAGGTACCTACTATGTTGAGGTAAGTGTCACTCGCAAAAGAATAAGGTAAATGATGACCTGAAGATTGGCATTATCCAATATTGTAAGACTTAGGTAGAAAATGACATCTTACCTAGGGTAAGACCAGATTACACACATAATTCTATTTCTTATTTATAAAGAAGGGCTGGAAGTTCTCTTTCAATATATGTGGTTTCCTCTCTGCTAGATCCATAATTAATTGGCCAAAAAGTCCATTTGCCCAAGTAAACCTATATCAGAAGTCAGTTGATTTACTAAGAGACCCCCATTTCGAATCTAGTGCTTACCACTGACGCGTCCAATTGCTCGTATCAAAGCTATCGACGCTCTCGTGAATCAAACCATATCCATCGGTGGTGCTCAACACTTCTTTAACTGCTGATATGATTTCCGCGTCATCATCCGAGGTCATCGCTCGTACTGGAGAGGGCAGTTAGTAAGTCGTTTTCAAGAAGGTTTAAATCAAGACGGAGGACCACAAAAAACCACGAGTGACGAATTTGCAGCGCCGATTGATGGGTAATGTTCGTTGGGGGGGATAAGGAGGATGTGATGGGGCTTAATATTACTTACTGATAGACGACATGGGCCATGCAGCTCCCGGTCTAATATGTGGGCTACCGATAGCGTTAAGATGAGGTCCTTCACACCACCACGGATTGCTTCTGCTGAGAACGAAAGCTCGCGTGTTTTGATAAATAGTGTCGTTCTTGTCCAAGTATCCTAGAAATGGTGCCGAGAGAAGCGATGGGACATTGGCATCATCCATCAAATTCTGACCTCCAAAACCATCAACCTCGTATGCGAAGATCTTCTTGCCGTTAGGCGCAGTCACAATACCCCATTGATTGATGGCCTCCCTAATCTCGGTAGCCATGTCCCGCATCTTTTGCGCCAACCCTTTTGGCGCATTTGGTAGTCGTTCCATGATATCGGATGTAGATTCCAAATATCTCGATAGCATCATATTTGCCGGGATTTGGAAATCGAATATAGCGGAGTCGTCACTCGGGCGGAATGGCGAGCGTACCAAGCCTGTCTCATTAACGGGGCTTCCGATACCATTGTTTCCTAGAGTGCCAGAACCGGTCATGGTCTGCGACTGGAATGTGTATACAGGGGGAATCCATTTCCCATCAGGTCCATATGTAGGCTGCCTCATTTCTTCCGATGTAGCAAGAATAGATTGCACTGCTTGAATCCATTGGAACTTGCCGAAGAAATCCAAGTCACCTGTCGCATTATAATAATCATGCGAGAGCTGCAAGAATCCTCCAAAATCATCAAGCTCAAAGTTGCAAGTGAAAACAATATTGCGATCGTACGACGGCGTGACAGAATAGATACCCCCGTTTTGCGCTGGGGAGATATCGGACTCGGGTGGAGGCTGGAAAGCATTGCAATAAGGTGATATGATTAGATATCGAGCCTGTAAATTAATAGTACCGCGAAATACAGAGGCGATATCATCGGTCTTTTTCTTCAGGACGGTTTTGTAGGGTGCTATCTGGTTCGCCGAGTCGCGAATCCACATCGCATCAATGTCGCCGGTAATTATGAAAGCCAACTCTTCCTCGGAGTTGTTAGCAGCGACTCCTCGCCATTTAACAGCCGTGTCGAGCGTATTCGGGAAGGTATTTTCGAAAAGACGTGACAGATCCGCATCGAAAATGACACTCTTCGTCTTGTTAATAGCATCCTCGATCAGGCTCGAGTTAAAAGTACGACATTCGGGGCCGGGTCGCTGATACGCGAGCTTGTAGGCACCGGACGAGAAAGGAGGGTTCCGCGACTGGGAGTAACTCGAATAACCGGGACAATTCTGACCGAGGACATATCCAATAACCAGAGAGGTCGACAAAAACACGTCGCCCGTCCGCATTGTTTATCGCGTAGTATTTTAACAGGTCGGGGGGAAGAGGAATAGTAAAACCGTGAGACAATCGATGAAAACTCAGGGAGAATAGCGACAAGAAACTAAACACCCTAGAGGAGGGAATCGTGTCCACAGCCTCAATAAGGATTGTCCCACATCCATGTCTAATTTATGGTGCGGTGCCGATGGACCAGCAGCAAAAGCCAAGAGTTTTGGGGTGGTATCCTTTAGATCTAGAATGTCGTCCATGGCTACGGCTCTCTCTATCCCTTGCTTGTACAAGAGGTCTCGCGATGCCGATGAATTGTATTATTGGTTATATATATACCGCTTAAAGAAGCTGCTGAGAATGCTGTTTAAATAATTCTAAGATTTGATCTCCTGATTGTAACTTATTAAAATGGACGATTAAACTAGTATAACTAAAAGGATAAAATACTATGTTGGTAGAACACGAGCTGCATGGATGAGTTGAAGCCAAGAGATTCATTATGTAATTTGACTTATATAGTATACCAATAAGTAGGTACCTATCGATAAGCTAGGTACCGTACTTCGTACATATGTTTTGTTAGCTTTTCACTCGGGGAACTGAGTGACCCGACCTATGCCCCACTCCCCACCCTACCTGTGCAGGGGCAGTTTGTGTGAGAGACCTGACATGACCTGACCTGTGTAAAAGTTCAGTAGACCTATGGAATAAAGTTCATCTTACCTATGGACCAACTTAGCCATTTATAATCTAATTGATCAGTACTCACTGAATACTCACTAAATACTCACTTTCTTATAGACCAACTTAGCCATTAATCAGTACTTACTGAGTACTTAGTGAGTACTCACTCTACCGATATTATTTTATTTTTTTACAGCGGCTATTATAGTATTTATTTTGCTATACAGCAATTACGCCTTATATATAAATATACCTTATAAAAATTCGCTAAATGGTAGGGGTTTATGGTAGGGGTCCATAGGTAAAATGAATTTTATTCCATAGGTCTACTGAACTTTTACACAGGTTAGGTCATGTCAGGTCTCTCACACAAGCTGCCCCTGCACAGGTTAGGTGAGGTCAGGTGGGGAGCGGGGCATAGGTCGGGTCACTCATGCTCCCTTTTCACTCGGCATCTCGGGATGACGTCAACAACGCCCTAACGGCCTCTTATCGTAGCTCATTCTGCCCATTTGAGTTATCGGGCTGCATGCCGATCAACACAATTGTGGAGATCACCTGGTCGCTGAGCGACTTTTTTTTAACGCTCATTGCGATCTGATCCGAAGCTCCGGATTTTACTACCTACCGGAACCCTCCACTTCCATAAGCCTCGCGCTTTTTTTCTTCCTTTTCCTTTTTCCCTTCTCTCTTTTTTGTTGTCGTCGCGCTTCTCGTTATTCCGTGATGGTCTCAATTTCTTAACTTCGTTACGCCTCCGTACGAAGCTCCTCTCCGTCCCGTCCCGCCTTAACCGAAGAATAACGATAAAAGACGACGATCCCCCCCCCGCGCGGCCTATTCCGGACGTCACCATGTTTCTCCTCAGCACCCGCGATGGCTTCCCAAAGGGCGATAACACGACCGACACCGTCTTCCACAACATCCACTTCAATGCCTCCACGCTAAATTATTGGAATTATACCTATTACCCGATCAACGGCACGCTCTCGAATGGATCCTGGTGCATGCTTATGAATCCGCCTTACACCCCGAAAGGTATCCTAACCAATGGCACTTTTATCAATAGTACTTGGTGTTACTTGGCGACAGATCCTATCGGGGACCGAGCGCGTGCTGGTATTGGCTTTGCTGTGGGTTTCGCCTTATGCCTGATTTTTATACTGGTCAATTTGAAAAAGCATGGCCAATTACATCTACCCGCCGAGAAGAGGTTCTACCCGATTGGGAGGAGGTGGCAATGGTACTGGTCGATATTCGTTTGCGCAACCGCTCTCGTTGGTCTTTTCACCGGGATCGATGTCGACCGGTACCATGTTGTAGAGCTTCCCATTGTTCTAAATGTCTTCTTCTGGTACCTTATGCAGATCGGTATCATGGCGGTAGTCTGGGAGAGTATTCGGCATTGGGGTAGTTGGATGGAACGTCAATTCATCGACCCAAACCCCTTCGTCCTTCAACAAAACGATAAAAGAGGCATGTTTGAGCTGTGGCTGCCCATCTTCTTTTATCTATGGTTATGGCTGGTAAGTCTTCGGTAATGATCTATATCCAAAGAACTATGTGTTAATTAACCGCCAAGAATTTCTTCCTCGTTGTTCCGCGGAACTGGGGTGCAATCGAACTCCAGCGATCCCCCGAACAGGCTATAGAGAATGCAATACCAGCTGCTACTGATGGGCGCTTCAAGGCAGGGACATTCTGCTTATTTGTTGCTTGGTGCACGATTATGGTCTCTGTATGGCACTCTATTCGACATTACGAGCCTCGAAACCGCGGTTTTTTCAACCGTATTATTGGCTTTTTAGGATATATGCCATTCCGCTTTACACTAATGATACCCCTTGCGCTAGCTGTCGTTGCTTACCAAGGCTTGTGTGCCTGGGACTTCGGCCTGTCGCCTCTAAATGTCAAAACTAACCTATTAGCAATGTATCTTGGAGGCTACGCACCAACTTTTCTCATCCTCGTCATACATATTATTGCAGGCTTTATGCGACCAAACGAAGATCGTGAACTCCTCCGCCAACGACGCGAGCGGGGACAAGCCTTAGACCAGGAGCTAGGTCTCCTTCGAAAGCCGGCTTGGTGGCGTCGAGTCAACGGCGACGTGTCAGCTGGCAGCATGCGAGACAGGATTATGCGAAACGTCCGTGAGGTTGGTGGTGGACGGCCCACTGGTAGGGAAGTTGAGAGACTGGCGGAGCGGAGGGCTGCGGAAATGGAATCCGATGCCACAACTCGAAATAGTGGTATAGAAATGAACGAGATTCGACGCGCCAATAGCGCCCGTGGTGGTGGAGCCCCAGGCTCGGCTCCTCCACCGCCGCCGTATACACCTTATGGGGGGAAATCAGACCAGCGGAGGTCTGAGCGTACAGTAGAAGTGGCGGCTGGTCTCTTATTCCCGGGTGCAAATACCAATACCCCCGGGGACAGAGGCAGAGGCTTAGAGGTTGCCAACGAGCAACCCCGACGCCCGAGGACAAATGAAAGAAGTTCAAGTACGGCTAGTGGCGTGTCCACGACTGGACCGCCTCAGCAGATCAGGAGTATGTTAGATATATGAGTTGAGGATATTAGGTTCAAAAGCATGACTTAGGTAGTATTGTTCGGTCTTTACTCGGGGCTCATGATGACTGAATGCGGCGTTGGAACTGGATATTCGACATCCGTTGAATATCTCTTCGGCTACAGGTTGAACTTTACTTGAACGAGAAATATGTGTATTTAAAGATTTATGATGCGATCTCTACGCGATATACAAAATATTAGTTTTTAAAATTATAATAAATTAGGTAGGTAACCATATAACAATACCCAAGGAAGAATCGCTGTTGCAAGTACGACGTGCAGGTGGCCGAGAGCATAACGAGGTTGAAGAACCAATTCAGCCCAACGAGATACAATTATGCACATAGAAGTCAAGTAGAAAGAGCAATAAAAGCTTTGGGCTTGGTTTGCCATATTTAGTGAGCCTAGGACGTAAGAATGGGACAATATTTACTTTGAAATATTTCGAGTCTATCAACGCCATTTAAATATCTCTTACATGCGTGCAAATGCAACAGCCATTTGCGAACAGATAACCGATACTAGGAAAAAAGAAAAGAAAACAATATCAGAGTAAAAGTTGAACTATCACAAGTGAAAGTACTGCTCCTCAGCGCAACTCATCTGGCCGAGGCGGTGACTTCCTGACAGCTCGTTGCTTATACGGTTTCCCCGCATACCAAGCAGGAGTCTTTGGTGCTTCAGGGGTAGGCAATGCTTCGGTGCCGTTCTTCGTAAACAAGCTTCCTGTCGTATCTCCGCCCGCAGCATTAGCAAGCTGCCCGGTCTTCCCAAGAGTCAGCAAGGCAAAGTGACCGCCGACAACAGGGCGGGCACTAAAGTGGTCTATCTGCAACGGGTATTCGCCCGTCCCTACTACTTCGTATAAATCGGAGAAAGGGAGGTTGGTGGTCGTCTCGTTTAGCCAGTAGGCAATGGCGTTGACGAAAAGTCTTCTCGTGGTGGGAAAACAGGTAGCCGCCGTCCAGATTTCCCAGTCTGATTTGGTATAGTGGTGTCGGTTATCCAGGGGTACACCGAAGGTCTGCGACACACTCGCATACCAAGCAGATTGCATTTCGTAGACCTTTGGGTTGACAAGCCCCATGTTCAGGAGCTTATCAAAGTAGATGTTATAAAGTAGACCCCAACTAGATCTCCACTGGTAGGCTAGAAGCGTGTGCTTCCCAGACGGATCAATCGCGAGATTTTCCCATTGGTCGTAGTACGACGTCGCCTTGTCAGAAAATTTGGCAGCATCGGTTGGGTTTCCGACAACTCTAGAAATAGAAGACATAGCTTGCAGGCCAACGATGCCCTTAATAGCGAGGTTTGTTTGATTCGCGAGTTCGCCGGCGAAATCGTCTGTGCTGAGTTGTGCCGCAGGGACGAGCGAGAACTCAATCAGATATTGGGCAAACTGAGACAATAGCTCGTAGTGAGTTACCAACCAGTTCGAATCGCCAGTAAATTTATAGTATGCGTAGGCCATTAAGATGAAATTTCCGCTATTCTCCACCGGCATGTACTCATCAGTGCCTTCAACGTGACCAGTTGCTAAAGGGAAATGAGCGCCGATATCATGTGTCGAGTAGGTATTGGGGTAGAAGTCGCCTTCCTGCAATTCGCATAGAGGTTGGAAGATGTATTTGAGTAGAGTTGGGTTTGCGTAAAGGAAAAATGGTGACGCCGGATAAAGAACGTCGACAGTATTGATATTACCATTACTGGATATTTCCTTCTGAAACATGAGTGGCTCTACATTATCATCTGCACTCGAGCTGTTGGGTACCGATGGGGGGACAGCAAAAACGTAAGCTCCCATAACCTGTCTGGCTGATAACGCTACAATCGCGTAGTATGACTCCGCCTCCGAGACGAAGGGAACGGCGATACCAGTAGAATTAGTTGGCTCAAGGAATCCGTAGGCTGAACTAGGGTCAAATATATACTGCTGTCCATATTGATCAGTTCCGTTTAGGACATCTTGCGCTGCATAAGATGGATCATTGGTAAAAACGACAGCTGTGCCATTGCTATAAACCGGAGGCTCGTTCCCTTGGTAGAAAGCATCGACATCAGCTCGAAGCTGCGTTTCAAACTCGTGGGCTAATGCTGCGACAGTATCGAAGTCATTCCAATGGAAACTTATCATATCGTGCATTTCTCCGTAACATTTCTCCCACCACGGCGCCAAGTTTGACAATCCACCCTTGTGAAGATATCTCACGATTGGGTTCTGAATTGAGCCGATGGTATAGCGAACCGAAGTCTCTATCACATCACCCATGTCATGAGCAAAAGCGTAGACAGGTTCTTGGTTCCCAAAGCCACGAGCTGCCGAGCCGGCATCGTCATTAAGAGCGCGATTATTAACAAACCCAAACCGGACGCTCGTAGCTGATCCGCTTTGGTACGAAAAGTTTGCAGCTCTAGCAGGGCTTGTAGTGAAAGAGAAATTTCCCCATCGCGGGACCTGTGAGACCTCGGCGAAAAGTGCGGGATACCTTGGCCGTAGAATCCAGCTAGTTGGAACATCGGTTGAATTTCCTGTTCCGTTCCCATTTAGAGGGCCAGTGTGGAACTCCTTAATGATGTCGAATTCATTCCCCAGTCCAATCCATTGAGCGTTCACATCAGAGTAGAATTTCACATGATGTGGGCGGCCGTCATTTGACTGGACTGTGGTAGTTAGATAACTAAGAGGAATAGAACTTCGGCAGATGTCCTTTGGCGTGACTGGCGAGAAGAAGCTAGCGGTAATGATTACCGGGCCAGCTAAGAAAGTAAAGTTCGAATATTGAGAGTCGAACCTGACTTCAAGAGGTATCGTCGTATTGAAGTACGGTAGCTCCGGAAAATCATTAATAGAAGTGCCCATATACTCGAACGAGTTGCCGTCGACTACCACAATTCCTTCCCATCCTAAACCCTGGCCAAACCAGAATATGGGATTTCGGTTACTTAGCGCCCCTTGCCCAGCGGTAGAAGACCAAGCGCTAGTGTAAGGAGACCTGACAGCCAAGGGGATAGCTGGTGGTCTTAAGGGGTAATATTTTGGGGTATCTGCTGCGGCGGCGGCATTCGGATAGATAGTGAAATTGGTAAAGGGGGTTTGAGCTAGGACACCAGGTAAGATGGCTATAACAGCCCAGGAGGCTCCAATAGCCAAGTTCCGAATGGTACGCATGATTATTCTAGCGTCCTATCCTTAGATATAGAAGATGTGTTAGATCAGTCTACCCTAGGGATAACTACCAGTAGTCGAATTGTACCTGCATCACGAAGTGCGGCATGACACATATATGATTTCATTGATACACAATATTACTCACCTTTCGCTATGTAGAAATAAAGTAAATAACGACATCCATAGCACATATGGGAATGTATTTCGGGGTAGGCGGGGATCCTCCAATAACGGGAAGCCAATGTTATTCGGCGTAAACAAGAAAGAGATTTAGGACTGTAGGGTAATAAACGGCTGCTGCATAGGTAACTATATGAAACGGTTTAATGTATGGCTGATCGGAAGATAGCTGCAAGTAATATCTCGATATAGAGTATATCTTAGTGAAGTCCCAGGAATATTTAGAGAGATTGAGTAGATAGATGATGGTGGTCTTGCAGGATGCAAAGAAAGAGGTTCAATATCCATAATTCCCGGATGTGTAGGATGTAGCTTATATTATATTCTCAGTGGGCGAAGATGGATTCTGTTGGATGAACGGCCCAAAGGGTTAAAGTTCGTAACCGTCATATAATGATTGCTATTTGTAAAAGGCGTCTTACAGTTGAGAAGAGAATTCAAACTTGAGGTTACTGGTGAGGCGTACGGCGTATTGTACCTGCTTTAGCGCCGATGGACCGACATCACTAATGTTTACCTTACATGTACGATGTAACTAAGACTCACTTGAATGCATGTACTTGTTGATTCTACCTATTGAATGCGAAAGAGCGTCTAGTACATGCACCTAGATAATGTTGGGTGCATATCAAATCCCACATGTACCTGTTACACGGGGTGTAGTGGGCACGCAACTACCGTTATCAGACGCTGAGTGGATAGTTTAGTGCCCACTCAACATGATTGGCTACTTTCGATCTGAATTTACCCTTTTAGGTAATTAACTATTTGTTCTACGAGAGGGGCACGAGGAGTTAAGTTCTGGACCTCGTATCCATTCGATGCTTGATTGATTGTTGATTGATTGTTATGGAGTGTCCACAACCCGGGTTATACGCAATATACCTACAAAAGCCCTCATTTTCATGAGTTCATCCGAACTAGCGAGTTAATGAGTAATAGGTAGCCGGCAGATTGATTGGTACGTTGGTTAAAATATGTGCTTGTGTCGTACGTGAACCGCGGAGTTGCTTGGTATTTCTTCACGAGAATATATAATACTATTGTTCTCAGGCACATGTTACACCCGCGGTCAGCAAGTTATATGGGACTTGAGTCTTGTCGGAACTACACATTCCACACCACATGGCCGGCCCGTAAACCCCCCAACGGCGAACCCCGCGATTAAACAGCCTTACAAAAAAAAACGTACTCTACCTAATCTACCTGTGCTCATAATCGCCTGGACTATATGCACTTATATTGGTTTACTATTAGAAATCAACGGCTTGATATGTGTTGAGTAAGAAAGGTGCCTTATATTAACTTGTTTTATTAAATATCTCGGTCACTTACACTGACAATTGCTCATCTGCATGATGATGAGGGCAGGTAGTAGTACTAGCCGGTATACGTCTATTTAGCTAACACCGCTCCTATGCATTGCGCATATTAGGTGGTGATGGAGACACGCAATATGTATATGAAATTCACGTTAGCCGCAAGGTAGATATATCGAATCACCTTCGGATGAATTAAAACTAGAACTAGCATACCTCGTACAGGAACACCACATGTTCATGCTTCGCGTTCCTGACGCGGGTACGCGGGTAGCACGTGGGCGCAACATGTTTCCCCTAATTCAATCCTGTATGTACCTGATCCCAAACAATAGGATACTCAGTATTGTCCCGACGATCCATTTGTTTGACGCCCAGGAGCTGCCGCACGAATTGCCGTGGTAGATTTGCATCGACCACGATGATATCGCCTTTCATCTCCACGGTTTGCTTACACCTTTGGAATACGAGCACGAATACCTTGGCTGCTAATAGCTTACCTACTACTTTAATTAAAAACCGTAGTAACCCAGTGCCACGAGGACCAAGATCTTATGGAAGAATGATACTGACGATTTCTACGACTGACTAATAGACAATGTGGTAGTCGGGTAGAAATTGACACAAGGTCAAGGTTCAGCCGGCAATGAATCTTGGTGGGGGCTATGATCATCTAGGTAACTAGAACGTTTTTTCTTATGTTCATCATCTGAAGCGTTGAAGCAATTGATGAGCTAAGAGGAAGAAAGGTGTGAGAGGCGAATTTGCCTGCTTTCCGCCCGTCCCAATCAAAAGCCCCATAATCACAATATCCGGAGGTTTGACATGGGCTTTCAAATGTGGGGAGAGAATGGTGTTGGTTTTCCAAGGAACGAACTGATTTCATTTATAATAAATGACATTCGCTGGATCGGCGGCTGAGAAAAAGAGGAATGCCGACGAAATATTGCCCAAGTGCTGACACAATTTATGCCAAGCTTTACCGGCATGATGCCAGGGGAGGAATCTCGTCAACGGCTCGTTAGTATTCGCCTATCCTTAGATTGATCTTGCTGCGGCTGAACTTTGAAGGCCGTGATGCCGACCTCAATTGCTCGGTTTGCATAGTCCCCCCACAGGTAGATACTCATGCTGGTGTCTATGACTTTCCATATTGCATTCACTCAGGCCCTTGGCTTGACTAATGCCTGGAAAACAATTCCGAAGGAGCAATATTCCTTTGGATCTACACGGGTGTAAACGCCGCGTAACGAGAAGGCCGTGATACATGCGTGACTTATCCCCCATACACTGCCGATTCTGTGTCCCAGACTTCTGAGCGGCCGACTTCGGAGACCGTTATCTTTCCATGAATGTCAAACCGCGCAAACGCCCTTTTGCGGTACTTTCACTTTTCCCAACCTTTCTGTTGCGGATGATCGTACGGGTGCATGAAGGTGACCTCAAACTCTGCTTATAACACTAACGCTGGGGATTCCGATAAGAACGCTCCGTCCGCTGTGGTATCAACCTAGGCATAACATGCGGCTCAAGAAGTTGTGAACCTCTCTGAGTCGAACAGAGGGTGAATCGGAATACTTGGATACCGTATAACTTAGTAAACAGTATGACATCTGCTCTACTACTTAACGCGTATCCATCGTATCATGGGTAAAACCTTTAGGTCCTAAGTAGGTAGTTAAGTGTATTCGTTAGCTAGCTTACGTTTGAAGTTGGATAGTCCAAAGCTGCATATTGACTATTGTGATGCATAGTTTGAATGGCGGTGTGGTTCCTCATAATGAAATGATGTTATTCAATCCAGTATTTCGTTATTGTCATAGGTTAGGTACTCGACTTCGCCTTCAGCATTGCTGCATGACGCCTAGCATGGCATTTCGCATCTTGCTTGTGTAGAGGGTTGTATAGCATATTGCATTCGTTGCATTCAATGAATCCTTTATCCTCGATTGAAAGACTTAACGTCGTTTGTACTGTAGCGGGTTTAGAAACCTTCTTCATGCTCCGTTCGCGCTTCTTAGTGTCCGACTGATCTTTTTGCTCTGTGACAGGCAGGTTGAGTATCGCCGAGGAAACCTCAGATAAAACTTGTGGTGAGTCGGTTGACAATATAGACCTAGTATCAACACCATTGGTTCTTTCTTTTTCTCCATCCTCTTTTGTCGCTTCTTCTGTGTTTGATTCTTCCGATGCAGCTCGAGATGTTATACGAGTAGTGAGTCTCCGCCGATTCTTCCGCGGCAGGGTAGACATGGGAGGGGACGATGGAGGTGTATTTATGGGATCAACTGGCTCAGAGGATGGCTCCGACGAATTCAGCGCGCAACTCGATGATGATGATGATGATGAAACCACCTTGAAGTAGCTCATGATCGTGCCTTTTCTTATAGGTTGTATGGGAGGTAAAATAGGCGAAGGGGGAATGCTAGTATTACAAGGCGACTCTATCGCCTCATCGTTCGATATTGTAGCTGTGTTGATATTCTCAATGCATCGCCTTTTCGAGGTAGGTTGTAGCGGTTCATTCGTTGAATTGCGTTTTCCATAAGTTCGAAGAACTCGACTATGAAAATTAGCACCTAGATCGCATATAAATGTTTATAATATACTAACGTGCGTTGAGGTTTCCTTGCGGCTCTGCGGTACTAACATTAGCACACTAGATACCTACTCAATTGGATATAGATATGCGTACCTCGACTCGGTTTGTACCTCCGAGGTTGGCGAGTCCATGACTGTTAGCATGTAGAGATTACCCTTTCAAATCCAAATATAGAGGTAGTAAAAAGAAAGGCACAATTATTAATATTAAAATCGAGTCAATGGTAGAGCCGATTTAGTTCCGGATGACGATGTTTAAAAAAAAATATCCAAAGTGGAGGATGAATACCTCTATCAAGATATCGAGGGAGACGCGTAAATTGATACATTGATACCAATTCCATAGACGCGTCTCAAAAACGCGAATGTGGAGTACTTTGTACATGAGGTACCTACATCCTAGGTAGGATCCCTACTCGACTGTCAGCAGGTGACATCACCAACTCAACAGCTGTCCACCCCGTTTTGAAAAGACAATTTCATCATCACAACCGTGCAAGACAAAATGATAATACTAGACCAATGCATTTATAATTTAGATAGAAGGCAGCATCTTTTGCTGAACTTATGTCGGCCCTTTTGTCCTTCGACGGAGGTTCGTCTCTGGTTTTATATTTTCTCGTATAAGTGCTTCGATAGAACCCTCCTTAACATTGTCGTCTTCTCCAACAACCCATGTCTGAACGATCTCTTTCACTTCTTTCACCTTCTTTTGCTGTTTCTCTCCTTCTGCCATTCTCCATGTGTAAGCAGAATAGACAGCGACTTCAGCGATAGCAACGATGATACTACCACCTAAACTTAAGAATAGTCGTGCTGGAACACTCCACCACCTGGCAGCTAACCAGAGCGCAGCACCGCAGCCGAATATACTAACTAGGAAGTTGATGACCAGGGTTATCTGCTTTTGTATATCACCATATTCGATGTCTTCGCCTATGTCCGAAGCCCTGAAAGGTCGATTGACTTCAGCGAACGAATGCGCCACGGGATCCGAGGGAAACCTTCGAGCAAATGATTCTCGTGGCGGAGCTTTCTTTAGCATGCGTTCGTATGATCTTTCTTCTTCCTCGTGACGTAATCGGGCCATTAACGCTTTGTACTCTTCGGTCTATGGACACCAGGGTTAGTAAATATAGATAGTGATAAGGTATAGGGGACGGACCGGCTCTGGCTTCGGTGGCGGGGGAGGTACATAGACCGTCGCACCTCGAAGCAATTGTTCTAGTCCTGTGGCATTACTACTATCATCCTTGAGGCGTTTCCATATATCGACTATCTGTCCGTGACTTATTGGTTTTCCAACCGAGGGATCTTTTAATGAAGGTTCGTCGTTGCTCGTTGCAATATCGTCAAACCCGACTCCAAACAATTGATTAACCGCCTCCACTATGGAGGGAGTCATAGTGAGGAGTACCATGTTATGAAATTGTGTCAAACATGGGTGTTATTGTAGAAAGCAGCTTATGATAGAGTAGAATGCGACGAACTAAAGCTTTAGACTTAATAAGCCAGTAACCTAGGTAGGCATGATTGAATTGCACCTGCCCCGGCACGAATCTGGCTGACATCAGCAATAGCTCCAGCCACATACGAATATTACTAACAGCCACACTCGGTCTAAGTGAATTTTTGATCATGTACCTAAGGTACCTAGTCAGCATCAATTGTCTCGCCAAAAAAAGAAAAAGAAAAAAAAGCAAACCTGATAGGGCGTAACCTCTAGCTCCCATACACGACATTACTACCTATATCGCCAATGCTACGACCGCCTAATTTACGACTTCCATAGACCAATTGGGCCCTTGGACTAACCCCAAGGCCAGGAAATCGAACATTATGCAGCTCCGAACAGGAGCTTCAGTGCTCTCTAAAGCACGCACGGCCGCCGTACCATCTTCAGTTTTTTCGCCATGTTCGGATTGCCGGAGAGCGACATCTTTAGATCTTAGGATACGTATATCCAGATCTCTATACCATAATAGTCCCAGAAGATCTTCAGCATGGGCAGCCGCAGTTTCTGTCGCCTCAAATATGGTCTCTAAAGCTGTTACTCGAGCTACCAAGTCCGAATTACCTATAGACCCGCTACGGGTTGTCGCCAAGGAAATGAAGCATTTAACAGGGAATATACGGCAGCTTTTGGGTTCGGGGCATCCTTCTTTAGACCGAGTCGCAAAATATTACACACAATCCGAAGGAAAACATGTGCGGCCTTTAATAGTTTTACTTATGTCAAGAGCTACCTCATTATGTCCTAAAGCTCCAGAGTCTTCATCGCCGCAGACACTACCTATCACGATTGACTCTTCAATATCTCCCCTCAGTGTCCTTGCCGATGCCAACCCCTCCTCACCCCACGCCGACTTCTCGTCGCAACCCGGCTCAGATAGCGATGTCCTTCCCTCCCAGCGCCGGCTAGCCGAGATTACAGAACTCATTCATACCGCATCGCTCCTCCACGACGATGTTATAGATCATTCTGTCTCGCGTCGGGGATCTCCTTCCGCCAACTTCGAATTCGGAAATAAGATGGCTGTTTTGGCTGGAGATTTTCTTCTAGGAAGGGCCTCTGTTGCTTTAGCCCGGCTGCGCAATGCCGAGGTTGTAGAGCTCTTAGCGACGGTGATCGCAAACCTAGTCGAAGGCGAATTCATGCAGTTGAAAAACACTGCGCGCGACGAGCGGAACCCCAAATGGTCCGAGGAAATATTTACTTACTACTTGCAAAAGACATATCTTAAGACGGCTAGCTTAATTTCTAAATCGTGCCGCGCAGCAGCGCTTCTCGGTCGAGCAGATGCGGCTACTGTTGAGTCCGCCTACTCGTACGGAAAGAATTTAGGTCTCGCATTCCAATTAGTAGACGATATGTTGGATTATACCAAATCCGGGAGTGATCTGGGAAAGCCTGCCGGAGCCGATTTAGAGCTAGGCCTTGCGACTGCGCCTTTATTATTTGCGTGGAAGACGACACCCGAGTTAAGTGTATTGGTTGGGAGGAAGTTTGGACAAGAGGGCGATGTGCAAAGGGTAACCATATTACCGACCATTATATTGCAATCTGATATACTAACTTTGTCTATAGGCACGGGAGCTAGTCTACCAAAGCGATGGGATCGAGCAGACGAGGGCGCTCGCAGAGGATTATTCACAACAAGCTATTGCAGCTCTTAAAGACTTCCCGGATAGCGAGGCGAAAGATGGCCTCATAGAAATGGCCATGAACACGTTAAAACGCCAAAAGTAATACCATTTAGACCTGTATTATCACCCGAAAACGTAATGGTGTTAGATGATCGTGTAGTTGGGGACCGTTATAGCCGTGTTTAAGATATAGCCGCGGCGAATGGCCTTTATTACATCAATCTGTAGAATTATGGGCTTCATGTATAGACAGAACCACCAAACTCAGCATTGGAAATTGGGCATCCGTTCTTCGGAATCAACCCCCCCGCACCATATCCTCCTCCGTCCCCGTGAGACTTTACCAAGCGCTTGATAACGTTGGTCTACTTATTTATAATTCTCACGGAACATGGATGAGTGCTGTTCAATGGCACAGACCGCCGCAGGACCAGTACGATGATAGCTCCTCTGCAACCGAAGTTACCTACCTATACAAGTTGCGCGCATTGGAGTCGTGGCTTCACAACACATCCTAACGCTCAAACAATCTTTTAATCCACCGTCACCTAAAAAAAAATTTGAGCCTAGTATTGACGAGCTTGACTCCTCGCGAAGTCCTATCACATATCTATCACTTTGTCGTATCATTTATTTCTTCGAATTCAGCGCCTACGACATATTACTACCTACTTTTAAAGAGTACGAAGGATTGTTCTAGGATCCGAATACCATATAGTTGGACGTAGAGCTACTTGAAGTCAAAGGTGGAATAAATCAAGAGTAAAAACCACCTAGAGGTATACCACACCACCTCTAAGCTGTGTAAGTTTTCCATTTCAACAATTTTAGTGCCTGACTTAACTTCAGACATGTTTCCTTGTGGGTGAACAGATCAGATCAAACGCCAACCCTTCGTTATCTGCGTAAGGACCCATCTCTTAGTACCAGGAGCCGATTGGTCCCCCATCGATCCCAGTTTACAGCCCCTGTCGTAGCTGGATTCTATGAAAGTCCTCCAAGGGGATCTCTAATGCATCTAGGTTCACATTTGTAAACTCAGGACGGCATATACCTATATCTTATCGGCACGTATCATCTTTAATCGAAGAATAGACTGTGGCTAGCGGTAACAGCTGCACTATTACGCGTGCTCCTTCAAAAGGCGGCGGCAGGCAAACATGCTCGATAATCTCCAAGGGTGTAGTTATTGCCTTCGAACTCGCTCTCGCGCTGCTTAAAGCCGCTGAATCTAATCCTACCTAAAATATGAGCGCTAACAAGGCTATCGTAGTGTGCTGCCTTAAGATAGTGACTAGTAAGTGATAGTGAGGCCCAGAATTTGCAACACTTCATCTTCAGTAATGGGAGGGGTTCAATTATGTTTAAACGAGGCTTCGATACCCGAGTTCTCATGTAAGTAGCCAACCTCCACGATCATACTATAGCCGATGGCAGTCCACAAAGCTTCACCCAGGATATCCCACCATAATTCTATAGAATCGTATAGAATCGTATACCGGTGGTCCGTCGTCAATCCCCATCTGGGGGTGGGCGTGGGCTAGCCATTGTGGATTATTCCATGCTGATTTAACTACCTAGGTAGGTATGTATAGAACTACGAAAATTAGGCTCGCTAATCTCCTATATCCTCTCGCAAGTAACCCTCGGGGCATTGTGACCGAATAATCATGTCAATTACTTACAGATAGTCTTCGTCTGAATTCTTGTAAACTCGGGTTTGCCGTGGCGAACTAAGGTGTCTGATTGGTGGAAAGGCCCTGTTGTCCAGGGACCCTCGTAGATTATCAGTCATTATAATTCTCCACACCATAAGCAGGACCTACTGTCTATGTAGTGGCAGACTCACCGACTGGCCCCGCGATGTTCAGCTGTAGTGGCACGGGTAAGGCGGTTCCTAGGAGCTTAAATACATTCGATTTGTTCTTGGCGCGTTGGCTGCGAAAGATTCGTCCGTGAACGATTATGAACTGACGATAGCGAAGAGGGTTGATTGGTTCAGCTAAGCCTTCCTGAATCTCCCATGCAGATATAGCTCTGCCCTATCTTACTTATGGAATCATGATTCCCCCATATTCTGTGATGACGCCACGAGAAAAAGTTCGCTGCAGGTGTTGTAGCTTCGCGAGCTGCACCACCGTACCACCGGCCATACATTTCCATGTAACAGGGGTTTGGATATCCAGGCACATATGCAATAGAACACAGTGTTGCTTTAATGGTAATTAATACGAAACCATAGATATCCCAAACCCCTTCAATATCTCAATTTTGGACCTGAGTAGCGAATCACCAATCCGTGTAACACTTCTAAGGCCGACTTGGGGACGAAATACTATGATATCTAGTAGGAATTTACTCAATTCGAAATAGTCCAGTTTTCAAGTATCTATAGGGAAGCTGTTCACTCATTAGCCATAGTGGGTGACCTCCCATAAAATCCCGTAAGTCATATATACACACATGCGGTCAGCAAAGCTGGGGTAGCATTGGGGATCTAAAGTAGAATAGTTCACCACCTTGCTATGTTAGCCTATGTAGGTATTCTTCGAGAAGGAATAATATGTAAGCTTGTCACCACCTGTCTACTTCCACACTCTTGCTTCCCGTGTTTATGTCTTTGGATCTTCTCTTAACTATATCATGAATGCTCAAGATACTAATAATTATACGCCGAGCAATGTCATACCAATTAGGTCCACAACAAGAGTCGCAGCAGCAAGGGGCTTACGATGTGTACAATACGTATAACCATAGCAATGGGGGGTACGGGTACGGCCAGCAACCTTATACTCAACCACCACATCAGCAGCAATATAATGTGATACATTCTCAATCGCAAACTTCATCACCAGCGAGTTCTCCTCAAGCAGTGCCAGCGACGGTATATCACCAGGATGGCATCGCACGCACTCAGACGTGGGTCTCGAATCAACAACCTAATGGGTCACCCCCGCCGGTGGCTAAGACCTTCTCCGGCGAATGGGCGAGTTCGCACGACAATACGTTTGACTACCGAACACCGAGGGGCTATTCTCCAACGATGCCACCACGACCCCGGAAGGAGGATCAGAGAATATGCGGCATCAGGCGGAACACATTCTTCATTGTTTTAGCCATCGGGTTATTTTTGCTAGTCGTTGCCATCGCAGCCGGTCTTGGTGTTGGTCTGGGGACGAGAAAAAGTAGCTCCGTCGCCGTCTCTGCCACCGAAAGTTCAAGGTGTGTTTCAATTTCTTTCGGTTCTATCTTCACTTGATCATGAAATACTTGAGTGGCCGCATGCTGTGGGACGCAAGATCAATATGATATCATGTCAGCCATCATGAGAGAAACTGTAAGACGCATACTCCGCTCACGTCAGCTAGACGAGCCATGACCGATGGTGATTCGAGGAGCCAGATATTCGACACTTCAATGCGGCGTCCAATAAATGCGAATAAACTAACACATATTTCCTGCAGTGCCGTCTCGTCATCTTCATCCTCGTCAGTATCGCCGACGTCCACTACGCCAACGTCGACGACACCATCATCCACCAAGGTATCGCCGACGCCAAGCTTCACGGGAACCTTAATACCTGGCCCTGTGATCTGCCCGCAGAATAATAACACGGTGTATGTATCACGGGGCAGTTCTAAGCCGTTCAACGTGCAGTGCGGACGCGATTATAACTCAGACGGTGGCGCGGAAGACTTGGCGCATATGTATGAAGCCAGCATGTCTCAGTGTATCGACGCCTGCGGTGACCATCCGGGATGCGTCGGTGTAGGCTGGGGTAATTATGAGGGCTCGACCGAGTGCTGGCTAAAAAGTAAGCTCGGTAAGCCTAACTCGAGTCCTAATTGGTATTTCGCGCAGTTACAAGATATGGACCTTGCTGGGTCTTAAGAAGAGGTGTGCTATGGCCTTAGGGTAAAGTACTAGCACGTATACGGGATGTTAGTAAAGGGGAAAGGGGAAAGGGGATAACGGTGCAGCTGAGGTCGGGTGGGCTTTTCTGGATTTAAGCGAGGCGTCTGGAGTCGGGATTCCCGTATTGTTATTATTCATCAATAGATGCTGGACTGGGGATTAGATGGTAGTAGATGGGACCATGGGTGTTTAGAGATGAGTGCTTAAAGCCTTCAAGATAGAGGTACCTTTGATACCCGTGTACTATCTACGGTACTATACAACTAGAAGTGTTTTCATACCTCCAGTGAGACAATTCAAATGAATTATACTTTAGTTGACAGGCAAAACAAGGTTATCTGCTCAATGGCCAGACGGCGATTTGAGAAATCATCGGCGATGCTTCCATAGGACCATAGGACCATAGGACCATAGGACCATTCTTCATCGCGGGAACCTGTGGTTCAGAGCCCGGTTAGCTCGAAGATAACCGAAGTTATATTATCGGCGATGTTCTAGGCGTCCAAGCCGCCGGTCTCCTCTGAAATATAAACTCGGGCTTCGAAACAATGAAATTTCGGCGTTCTATCGCTTAGTAGTTGAAAAACGGTAGGTAGCTAAGAAGATCCTCCTGCGTAGATGAGGCATGGACATAAAACATGGCTGAAGAGGCGATGAAGATAGGCTTGAAAAGAAATGTCGGTGAGCTCGGCCATCTAACCAACATGCCGAGTAGCTACTAAGTGAGTTCGTGAAACTTGTATGCGATGGGAGAAACTTAATGATAACGGAGAGGTCGGCAAACCATAGCGCATATACATATTCGGCTACTTAACATATGGGACCATTATTCGGCGACTATCTTCGTAAGCTTTCATCTTCTGGATAATCGGTAAGGCTCGGTCTCTACGGCATCTATTAAATTACCCGTCAGGTGGCCGATATAAGGTTGTGGGTATCGAAGGAAGAATGTAATTGGAACGGGCATCGTTTTTAAAAGAGGATTCCCGCCGGCAACCTTTCAAGACCCCACCACATCGCCGTCTATGTTCCCACCCGGGGAATCCATCGGCCATGATATTAGGTCCGGCGAACCAGTGGGGATAGGATGGGGATCTGTGCCAATAGACTTGGAGGTAGTTCTTCGAAAAGGGGAAGCCTCATAGAACATTGACATAGAAATAGAACATTGACATAGCTAAGTCCATTTCTAGTCGAGATATTTAGAAAGAAATATGTTAGGTACCTAACCTAAAGAATACATACCTCTTAGCATGCCAACCTACGTACTAGGTAAGATATAAAAAGAAAAACACATTAATAATTACCGCATGTTAGGAATGTAAATGCTAGTATGCTACTCGGACGCGTGAAGCAATAATACCTAGACATGCATAACAGAAAACCCCTTAGCAAGGCCTATTAATGGGATCCATTAAGACTACACTCTTGGGTCGCAAGCCCGTCAGTCAGACCACCGCCACCAGGCGTCCCCCAAAACGCCCTCAGCCATCCTATCGGGTCCTGCTATGCTAGTCATACCCAACTTTTACTTGATTACTATGGCCTTATGATCGAATCTAGCGCATGGTTGGCGTGTGTTAGTTCGCTAATTTTGCCCAACATCGCTGTGTCGATCTCATGTAGGTTAGTTGCTAGTCCTTCTGACCATGCCGACTTTTCGATTCTACGAAGTACAAGTAAAGAAAACATGGTAATGGACGGCGACCTGCTCCGCTCCGCTCCGCAAGCAAGATGCAGGCCTATTAGACGAATAGACATGCTGCTCTCGACGCTACTATGGCTAAGCTTGTACTATATCATCTATTTTAAGCGCTAAAATACGAGCAAAAGACCCGCCGCTGTGGAAGCTCCATCTATTATTATCATTCTACCAAAATAGATATAATATATAAACATTACCCATCTGTGTCCAATCTTCTACTAAATATTGTTAATGTACCAAAGGCGAATGGGCGTATACGGCGAGAAAGAGAGACCATTTGTAAGTACATCTATGTCCTGGTTATCATCAAACCATTATACCTCATTTGTCGAGCCTTTTTGGGGGGGGCCTTTGGTTTGCTATCTTGCCTACTTGCTGCGCCTCTTTCCCAGCCCATAAGTTACTGCCGAGGTCTGCAGAGTTTACGAATTTTCTTAACCCTCACCATGCAGCTTATCATTTATATGAGAAAAAAAAACCCCCCAGATCTTCTTATACATACCCAGTCTGGACCTAGAATGGCGCAGATCGACACATATTTACGACCGAATCCTTATTGAAACAGATGGTACTCGACTGTCTTGACTTTATCACGATGCCGAATAGAGCAGTCAGTCCTCATTATTTCAAGGTGCACTCGGTGCGCTCGTGAGCATAGTGTTGATCTCGGACATGATGCCCTCGTCGGCTGCCATGCTGCTGATAATTTCTTCCTGCGTGAACCCGACCCAGAACGAAGGGTTATTCTGCTGCGCCCTCTTAGCGCGGTAGATCTCCTGTGCGACGCCCTTGACTTGGCTTGACGCCGTACTGGCTGCCTTCCAAACGCCGCTGAGCTTATTTAGAGCTCCGATATTTAGTCGGATTCGTTGTCGAAGTTCGTCTTCGTCTTGGATGAAGTACTCGAGGGCCCATTTGCTAAGATGGACGATCGAGGAAAGGGTCAGCACACACGTGAAAAAATGCGTATGGCTAGTGATTGGCACGTTATACGTAACCATCTTGCTGATCTCGCACGAGGCCGTGATGATATGCCTAGTGTGGATATTAAAATGGTCACCACTCTCGACTGCTCGATGTGGCGCGCAAGCCGTTACTTCACGTGCCGGCGACGAATCTAGCTGTGAAAGAGGCTGATGCAACATTATCGAGCAGCTACACAGGCCACCTTGTTAGTATAGACAGTTCCGCGAGGTTGTATGGCATTACTTACGCATGATTAATCATATGTGCTTGGAACATCATCTCGTCTGGCTGGCAGTTCTTGTTCAAACTGTGCTGCTTCGACCGCGGCAAGTGCATCCTCCAGTTGGAAAGCAACGTTTCGATCCTGTTGACATTCTCGTCGCTCGGATAACCGCTCAGTCGCATCATGCGCCCGAGGTTCCTTATGGATGCAACGCGGTAGGCGAACGAGGAGAACTCTCGTTCTTCTCCAGAGAAAATCTGATCGTCGAAGTCCTCTAAATACATCGGGCGTGGGATATTCTACCAGAATTTGCCTGTTAGCTAATGGATTCTTAGGTGTCGATGCTCATCAGAATAGGAACGTACTCCTGACGTGTATTCATGTTCTTCGCATGGAAGGCCAACATCAGCCACGATATCAAAGAGGAGGAAATTTGTGTGACGGTGCACTCCGGCAACCATTCCGTCTACAACGAATAAGTCCCACCACGTCCGTCGCCAACTCTCTTCTAGCCTTGGGACACCGCCTCCGTGCATCGTGGCGTAAGCCCTCGTATAGAGGCCTATTTCTATGGCGATCCGCTCGACGTCGGAGAGAATTTCGCGTGCCTTTTCCTGTTGGCAGTTGCCATCTAGTCCTATGAGGACAATGACCATAGCTTGAACCAAGTAGCCATCCTTGACAACGTTCGGAGCGTAGACCAAACGCATAGCCTCTTCGAAGAACGTAGCACGAGAAGGACCGGCGTCGATATATAAGGACCCAACCCACCTCATCGCTGCGAGCAAGTGATTAAGGTCCCTCTCTTTCGACATCTTGAGCAGGTGGTCCTTTGGTAGAACAGCAGGGTGACCAGGGTAGAAAAAGTAGTAGAACGAATCGATACAGCGCTCCGGAACCGTCTGTGGTCGCGAGTTTGCTTCTACCAGAGCACCATTAGTACCGTTAAGGTAAGGGTTTCTGTACAATTGAAGGCCGTTCATGCCAGGGGGCGCAAATGGCGTTGCGGGCGACTCGGGGATTACCATGGCCGGATTAAAGGTCGCTAAGCTCGGAGGCGCAGCGGTTGAAACCGTCGCACCCAGCAGCATCGGACAACTATCGCCGCCGGCGGATGGCGGAGAGTCAGTTGCATGACGCTTATTTGGGTTTGAGACGGCATTCTTTCTCGGTCCTTTATAACCGCGACGAGATGCCACGTAGACACATTCGGATTCTGATGTTTGACAGCGCGAGCACGGATACTTCCCATCACACTTTAGATGCTTTCCCCTCTAGTTTCGCAAAAAGATGTATAGTTAGCACAATAGCTTCATCGTAAAAACCAACATTTTCTAGACTCACGCATGCAAGACAAGCGGCCTGCACGGTATTCGGGGGTGACGCCCGTGAATCGACAGCGCCCGAGTCAGAGGGTACCGATGTTGAGTGGGGTGGCTGATTGAGTATTTCCGAGCCAAGGCCATTTAATAACGCGGTTGGAGATGGATTCGAGATCGAAGGCGCAACGCTGGGCGCGTGCGTGTAAGACTCCATTGGAAGCGGGTTCTTATTTGACTACGGACCGACGGGAGGGTACTAGAGAATCAGCGACTCTTTTCTTTGCTTCTTCTTTTCGAAGACAAAAATTTTAGGCTGTAGTAAGGTAGGTGGACGGGGGATTGTAAATGATATCGAAAAGTCGATGGCGGCCGATGAGCAATTGGATTTAAGTGGCCACTACTGCCACGACCCGAGATATACGGTGACGGGTGTTTCCCCTCTGTTCTGTTCTCTTCTCTAACAACACCCCTCTTAAGCAGGCAGGCTAGACTGAAGGTATCGGATTGTTCTGTTTAAGATACTATAATCAAATCTGATAGATACCGAGCGAGCACGAGTTTAGTTCGGTATTGGCGGGTCGTCCGGCTTATTCACAATCGGTCCATGAAGTGAAATGAGAATTAAGGCTTAGCGTAAGGGGGTTGCTGGCAGTTCCTAAGACACTTTAAAGACGGCTTCGAAATCTAAGGCGCTAGAACTGGGAAGTATGCTCGCAAAGAAGGTTCGAGACGGAGATTCCGGTAACAGTGATGTTGAAAGGGGAATTGGGGAATAAGTAAAGTAATTAACAAGCAGCAGCCATTGGATATGTACAACAATAGGTAACGAAACTATACAGGGGGGCGGTATCTGTCGTGATAGTCGGAAAGTTTTTTTTTTTTTTCTCCTTCTTCTACCTTGACTTGAACGAGATTGGTGAATAAGAAAAAATTGGACGAATAGATTGGCAGAACTCGCTAACGTCCTTCGATCGAGGTGAGGGGTTCAGAATTCGCGATGGCTTTTCGCCATGTCCAACCCCATGCTGGGCATGCAGACACAAATCAGGGACCTAAGGTAAACCTGACAGATCCATTAGGTACCTTAAGGGATCATGATTATGAATACACCTATAGTGTAATAAATCAGGGAATATTTTGGACGGCAGACAGGGATAACAAATATACTAGCATCCCGCTCGCCGCGATGGGTCAGAATGCTAGGATGGGTCTGTGTACTAGCCGAAGCTCAGCTATTCGAGTTCAGCTCCATAGATCTAGGGTTGTTACTTATCTGGTCCATTGTTTTTTTTATTTCACGTTAATATATCTCTGCTGAAAACAACCATGCTCATAACCATGCTCGATTGGCTGCCGGCGGACGAATCCCCACAAGGGGCCACCAGCAACGAGTAGGGCTGTTCCTGGCAAATGGGTCTCTCATCATTTACCGGTCCGCCACGGAATACTGTGTACTATTGCGCTCTGTACCTTGCAAGCCTCGACACTTCGAACCTGCTAGCGTGCCTAATACGATTAATTACCACACGCGAGGTATCGAAGTGGTCGGATGTTCGGAAATAAAAACCTCTGTACGTTACGCATTGCGAATATGTACCTAAGTGTGTATAGGTGGTGGGGGATCGGGACACCCACTGTCGCTATCCTTATATCACAATGATAATTCTCTATCGCCGAAATCAAGCGCCGGGTCCAAGTGGTTTGTTACTCGTTGAAACCTCGAACATCATCTCGACTTGATAGGAGAGTATTTGGACGCAACGATGCATTGGCTAGTGAGAGATTGGTGGAAGACTGGAAATTGTGGAAATGACAAGTCATTTGCGCTGATCTGCCACTGTGGGTTGTATGCTAGGTAGGCTGTAAGCTCTGAGGTGTACATTATGTAGTGGTGAAAATGGTGAAGGTTGCATACCTAGAACCTACCTACCTTGTAGCAGAGGAACATTAACTGGAGAATAGGCGAACAGCTGCCATTAGCATTTAAAGCAGGCTACGCAGCTGCTCATCTCGGCCTTGCAGCTGCTTTCTACCCTAGTTCACCCCGTATCTCGGGTCGCACAATGGATCCATCGCAGTACCTAACTGCGGGTCATGACATGGATATTCCATGCCGGCCTTAAATATTTAAATAGGTACCTAACATAGGTACCTACATCTTTAGGTATGGAAGTATTTCCGTTTACAATTTAGCTAAAAGAGTACCTTAGGTACCTAAGATATATAACCTTTGTACCTCTAATGCCTCACTCTGCGTCTTTATTGTTTAGTACTTTGCACCCCCCCCTTTCTTGATCTTGATCCAGTCCGTGGCATCGTCTCCTATGCAGTTCCATCTTATCTGATGACGGCGATTCCCGGACCCCAGTTGATGCTATGCAAATCTGGCGTATTACCGATGACTACCTACTCCCGCTCATCATCAAATTACCTATTACGTCCTCCAAGTTTATAAACGTCTCGTTACGAATTGTTTAATTATTATTATTGAATCCGGCCAATTCTCGGGAATTAGTGTTACGTGACTTATTTTCCGGGCTATATGTACGAGCCTGAGATACTTCTCACGAAAGCGTTCACGTACATAGTAGGTATTCTACTGCGACAGCCTAGTATGCAAGCAAGTAATGGTATGACAGTATGATCTCAACCATACTTAAAAGGTTTTAAATACTCAAGTAATGCCATATGAGGAAGGGCTTAATCGCTTGGCGCGTGGGTGTGCCTATTAGCTAGCATTCAGTTGAGAGACTTGGCATTCTCATCCTTCAAACTAACTGCTGTGTTTGATGCCTAAGTAATTGTAGTGCTACGATTACTTATACTTCCGGACATTCTCATCTTAGTTTCATAGGCTTGATTCATATATCGCATTCATTATTCGCAGATATTTCCGACCTGCTCCGCGAATTTTCTTGACTCTACCCCTTATTTTTCAGCCCCTATTGTTCCTTGGCAGGTCGTCGGGAATAGTTGGGCTACCGTTGGTTCCCGATCCTCCGGCTAGCGAGCCTTCCTTAATACTATTGAGACCTGTTAAGCAACTTTAGGTTTGATTCCTATAGGCGTTGTTGTGTCTCGCTTGCAGTTCAGTCTACCGCATTTAAAAACTCCCGACGGTTAATTAAATTTTATATGAATTATTCCGATTTCATAGATGTCACGCTTATAGATTACAGATAAGGTAGGAAAAGATTCCATAGGATGGAAGTTTTCAGATGTAGTCGGTTAGATGAACGACCTAAGAGGTACTAGATGCCTATCTTAGAGTTGTATAATATTGGCCCCCTAATAATCACCGTAGTCTAGTGACGAGGCCATGTTGCCTGCCGACACCTAATAAATGGTACCTATACCAGAAATTTCTCAAATTTTCACAAGACACAGGGGCTACCGATTCTAGGTACGCTTTATCCAAGACAATTTGACTCGACCATGGCCCATCTAGAGAAGAAAATTTCCAAACCAACCGCATAACTCTACCAGCTATGACAGAGACTCGTCAGGCTAAAAATTATCAAGTTAAGAAACTTTTCGAAACTCACATCCAATCGAAACCATCTGACGGGAATCGTCAAGTACTAAAAGGTTAAGATGATGGGCTTCCATAACATAGGTAGTTAGTCAAATCAACTATTCAACAACCTCAACGTCAAAACGAATGTTTATGTTTATTCACATACTAATAGTTAACCTACCGCTAACCTACGTCCTTCCCCTTTAAACTAACATATGCCGCACCATATTATGCCATGCCATCCTGTAGTTACCCTTTTTAGCGTCCTTATCACGATTGCTGTATGTTTTGCTCTCCTACCGCCGCTGCCATCATCGCCGGGCGTTTCGATAAATGAAAGCTAGACGCTAATGTAGGGCTACCCCCATCACCGGACTCACTATCAGATTCCATACTAACAGATGAAGCCGATCTTGCGAGTGATCCCGAAACACTTGTCTCGCTACCGCGATCACTTGCAGTATCATCTTCGTGCACTGCCTCCGTGGCCTCTATATCCGCGATATCTTCCTTCCGTGTCTGTACGAGGAGCTCATTCTGCTCTTCCTCTTCGTCGTCTTCGCCTTTACCTGTCTCCCACATCTGTCTCAGAGTTATCTCCTTTATCTTGCTTCGTACCGATGCGTCAAATTCGAATGGCGCTGGCTTGGCTATGAGCAACGGCGTGTAGTCATTCCAGTGCACGGGTATTTCGCTACCGTCTTCCCGACATTTCTTCCGGAGATTGAAAGCCCACACCATCCCGCCCATCGTCAAGAATAGATCTTGCTCTACGATTGGAACGCCTTGGCACGTGCGCTGGCCGAAGCCGAACTGACTGAATCCTTTGAGGTTTGGGTACACGGAAAGTGGCTCCTTATAGGTAGGATACTTCGGTTCTAGCCACCGAGCAGGATTGAAAGCATCCGCGTCTGGATATACAGACTCGTCGCGGGTAATAGCCCTAATTACGAATTAGAAGGTAACATTTTAGAATAGGATTATTTTAGGCTTACCACTCCAAGGCGTGAATAGTAGCACCGGCGGGAATAAAATAACCGTCATATACATCGTCGTTTTCTATCGCATGTGGAATTCCTTCTAAGAGTCAGTGAAAAGCACGTTTAATCGCAGTGGGTGACTTACCTGTCGGAACCGGGGGGCGCCACCGAACCGTCTCCTTCACGGCGGCACGAAGCATCGGTAACTTTTCACGATCTTCCCATTCGGGACACCTTCCTTCGCATACGGTATCGATTTCATCTTGGAGTCTTCTCTGCCAGTCGGGATAATGCAGCATGGCAAGTATGAAGCTCTGGATCGGACTTCCAATCGTCAAGGCTCCGGCGATGGCCATTTGCCCGACAACATACGTGGCCTCGGCCTCGTCGCCCCATTTACTGTTATCGTTTAGGCCGCTCTGTTTGTTTATAAATGTATGTACGAAACTTGGTTCGGCATTACCCTCGCTAATACGGTCGTGTACGTACCGAACACTGCCCTTCAGAAGTCCAGATTCGAGTCTATGCCGGGAATTTTCTTTCTGTTTCCACGGACTTATAAATCTAGGTATGTGCATAAGCCAGGGTACAGCGTTAGGCAGCGCGCCTGTAGGGGAGATGGTTTCGAGGAGACCGGAAGTCGTCACTCGCAAAAGCTGGGCGGGATGGGGGCTACCCCAAGAGAGCCGCGCTACCGTGCGTGATGTGAATTGCTCGACGTATTCCCGATATTGTGACGGGTCACGCGATAGGAGGTATAAGAAGCGATCCCGTTCTTTTGTTGGGTAATCATATAGCGAAGCGTTAGCCGTCACGCTCATCAACTGCTGGCAGAGCTTCCGCTGGCGTTTCCAAGTAGCTATATCTCACGTTAGTGAGGAATGACCTTTTATCGTTCTGTGCCTACCTACCATTATGCCCCGACAGCGCGAGATAGTGTCCGCTTGTTCGATTATCAGGAAGGTTAGGAATCTGTGGCCGGTCTGAATAGTTGCGTGCCCTCCGCGAGAGCAGATCGATCGCGATTCGTTCTGTTGAAATCCAGACGTGGACCGTACCAAACATTTTGGTCTGATATATTGGGCCATACTCCTTACTCCATTCGTAGAACTTCAGCCACGACGAATTCACCGGAATATCGTGTACACGGCCGATCAGAGGCAGGGCTATATCAAGTTAGAAGAAGGCACCTCGTTGAGATAAGGGGTGATGAAGACTAACACTTCGGTCCGGGTAGTGGTCGAGTATTAGGCGGGATCCTACGTCTATCGTTTACCCTTTTCGCCGCATATGCCAGGCATAGCAGTAAAATCGAAACTATAAGCCAAGAAACCATAGCCATCGTTGATGTCGTGAAGATCCCTAGGAGTCGAGGCGATAGTATGAGAAGGTGAAGCCCAAGGACTTCAGCTAGGTGCTAAACCATGCTAGCAACACGTTTCTTCCTCATGGTCTTATAAGATAACTCTGACTCCCGTACGGCTAGTCAACCCACCTTCATTAACATGATATCTCAAGGGAGAGCTTATCCCTTCTAAAGTGGACCCCATAGCCCTCAGCTCATGTGCAGTTTAATCAACAGAAGACCCCGCCGACGCGCTGTAGTTCATTCCGCGAGTGTGGCTTGGAATGTCTTGATTTAGCTTGTCTCACGACGCAGAACCCGAAGATTGGTAGCAAATCAAGCTGAAGAATCCATAAATGGAGTATACTAGAACACTGTAGCTTCGGATTCTCTACGAGAGGATGCTGGACATTGCATATTCATGCGAGATAAGATTTGACCATCCTAGGTCCAACCAAGCTAGTATTTCGAGACTCGTACAGAAATAGCTCACTTATATCACGCGGATTCCCACAGCCGGGGACAGACCTGCACTTTTAAGGCGAGAGCTCGAAAAACTTATTCGTAGTGGAGGGTTACAGTACCTTAAGTCGGCGCGTATAAGGTTACGGTAGCCTTGTAAGAGGGTTGCATCGAAGGGAGCCCCAATTGGGGTCTCAGTGGGATCTAAGAATTGGTTAGTTATCAATTTAGTGTTCGTGGAGAGGACGGAAGATGAAATGAACGTCATGGATCGTTCAACTGGTGATTATAGGTAGTAAAAGTTGTAACACCACCGACTTTATCTCGAATGGTATGGTCTCATTCAAAATTAGCACGTGTGCAGTCTCATTACTTGCTAGTACACCATTCCCCAATGTTAGAATACACTTTGGCTAATGAGACGAGCTAAAGGCGAGTCTGAGTTGGCTTACATCCATTGACGATCATCTAGGCACATAATACGGACACGCAATGCCGAAGTTTGTTTTACGAGTCGTGATATCGATAGGACCACGTAGACTACCCCCTAGATATGTTCAGAACAGATACGACATGTAGTTCTGAATACGATATGACATTAGGCTATTCGAGGTCCAAGACTACTATTAGCGTAACAGGTATGGCATTTAATGCTAGTAGGACTATATACTTGTCAAGTTCCTTCATCTTTCATGTCTTCGGCTGCGCACACTATGGAGCAATAATTATAACTATAAGCCAAAGCGTAGAAGGTGAATAACGAGCGACGTTGATGTTATTCGGGCCCCACCAGCCTGTGTATCTGGGGTAATCGGCGAGTGAGGCTCAGTGGTTCCGGGGAAGTTCGGAAGTCCCCCAAAGCTTAGATATGCCACGGACACAGACCTATAGGTTGGTGGTATTATTAATTAGCATGTGCATAGCTCATGAGGCTGGAAGCAAGGGACCTCCCACACATACCAGACCCTTGGATAAGGGTTGACAGGGAATGCTAGCTATGATCAATCAGCTGGTGATCTTTCGGCTAGATGGGTCATAAATCAGCTCAAATATGACGAATTTAATGTTTATATGCGTGACCCCTTGTAAGCCCCCCGTCTTTACAAACTCGCTTTCGGGATTGTCTAGCTAACACTGGCTAACACTAGTTAGCACTTGCAAGCCTTTGTGATCCCCGTATGGCTTTTATATTATGTATTTGGCCGGGATGCCAATCGTAGGTTGGAACCCCGTGACGGTATATAGGTTGGGTTCGTCCTTAACTTCAGATTAATACTATTGCTTCACTAAGGAACGCCACATGCATACTGAGGCTTGCAGCCGTCTAATACGAAGAACTATATGTACCTAACTAGAGACATTTCTGTACGTCCACTTCTTTTCTTTAGCTTCTAGTTGCTATTAACCTTCTAGGAGTAGGATTCGCCGAGACTTACCTGAGTCGGCTTAAGAGATAATAAGAGACCGATCCCAATTAATACCAACGGATAAAAGCTTCATGCTTCCGTCCGAGTGTTAATTAGTCTCATCATATCGCAGGAGAGTTTGAGTCTAGAAGCCGGTTGAGCGACCGTCTGTTCCTCGGGCAGACTATTGGCGCACGTTCGGGCCCGAGCATTATCAAACAACTATGGGCGATACTAGAGGTACTCATCACCTTAAAAGAGTGAGAGTAAAGCAGTGATGCGCCCATATCCCGAAGCTTATGTTGTGCAACTTAAGGCATGCGGCTTAGTATCGACTATACCAGGATGCTCTCTTTTACTGAAAAGTTGTTTAGTAGTTAGTAGTTGACCCCTTCGTACTACCGGACAAGACATCCTTACCTAGCTGTAATCTTAGCTATGGTCATCTCGCAATGTCTTATGCACAAGCTCTCTCGCATCAAGCAAGGCATCCCCTGAATTTAGAATATCCTCCTAACATAGGTAACAATCTTGGGTAACAATCTTTAAATCAGACTTAGGTCATAGTTCGTTAACCTCTTATAACTACCGAGAAGTTATTTCCTTAGATACCACCTGCTAGGATTGTACTTCGCCAGCATTCTACTCTGCTTCGCGAATTGAACACGAAGCTGTGCACAGACATACTTCGCAAGTATGTGTTAGGTACCTACCCGGCACTGTTCTTGTCGACTTCTTTCTGTGGAATAATGAATAATTCTTGAAGCACTGTTTAATGACCACCACCTTGGCAACAAATATTGAATGCCATTAATAACTTAGGATTATTTTTTTCATCTCAAGAATCTCAGGGGATCCAATACCACGTGCTTGAAAGTCACCTCCATTCTCCCCTTTCTTAATTTATCATGTCTCGCATTTCATCTCCATATCGAAATAATTAGGCAGGTTCTTCAATGTCGGCTATCTTGTGTAGTAGTTTATATATATCTAGTCGTACCGAAGTTATATTGCATTCAGTAGTTGCGCGGCAGTACAACCTCCGTTCGTATCCGTAATGACCGCAGGCGAGTGCGTATCGCATTGTACATCGATAGGATAAGATGGACACCTATAAATTAAATATATAACTCCTCGGGTTCAGTAAGGGGAAGATAAAAGGAGAGTGCAAACTTTAGAATTGGATACGCAAAGACCATCAACTTGATGAAATACGGACCAACGATTATCCAGGTCATAGAGGCACAGACCATCTAAAGAATTGCATTGATATCGTGCCGCACCTATGTCAAACAGGTGATGCTCAATATTGTACCATGACGTAGAAGGCATCTGGTGATCTTCGGCTGACACGCGATGAGAATATGTACATGTACTTAAAGTGACCATACTACGTTTCCTCCATGTGATCGCGTTTATAGGCGAGTTATTCACATGCTATGAGTTCACTCAGGGACTTAGTCATGAACTAGCGGCGTATTCAAATTAAGACTTGTGTATGTGCTATGTAGTTCAAGCAGTAACTTAGAGTACAACTGTCAACAACGGCGAAGTGCTATTTTGATGGGCACGAATGGGTATAATGAGCTATGACATACGTAGTCGGATCATTCTGCAATCTTTGTCCTCACTGCTATAGATGCTCCTCAACCTCCGATCAAAAGCAGTATTCCTCTACATGCAAGTGGATCCCCTGGGCGCCTGTGCCTTTGTGTACCGCGCGTTCGTCGCTCAGCTTCGCCACGTTGGTTCTCACTGTGGTCACTAAGGATTGCCCGCCGCATACCACAATCCCCGTTTCTCCCCCAGTAGCTTCAACAGCCGTTCTGATGAACTCGGCTACGTCCGGTCTTGACGCCGAGTGGTGAATATGTGAGTCGGAGCTTGTCTCCGAGAGGTCCATACGCGACCTACCCATTAACGGCTGGATAATTCCTTCAACATTCACCGATACCTTTACATCTTCGAATGTATTCTTCTCGTGTGTTGAAGAGGTTGAAGACGATGAAAAAGCCACGGCACCTAGTGTTCCGAGTTGCCCATCCCCAGTCACAGCGATATGAACGACTAATTCGATGCCTACCGACTTTGCCTTTTCCATGGCCTCATGCAGACGTTCGTGGTAGAACCCAACTTCCTCGCCCTGCTTAGCCGTCAAAAGAAAGTCCACACGCTTGGTGCATGACCTTTTCTTGGAGTGAAGCACGCTCTCCAGGATAGGAAGCGTATATGACGCCCCAGTAGATGCGGAAATCAGGACTAGCGTTTCGAAAATATCCCAACGAGGTGGGTTTCCGTACGGGCCTATAATCAAGGCTGTAAGAGCCTGCTTCTTTCCCATTGCTTCCTGTTTTCTCGCAAACTGGCCGAGTCGTTTGGAAAAGCCCGAATGAGACCGTATTACTAGTTGAATGCTGTTACAGATGCACGTCTCAGGAGTCTGATGAGCAGAAGCAATCGTGTACGGGTGCGCTTCGAATGGCGCTACTCGAGGTAGCCACAAATAGAGATGCTGCCCTGCCTTCCACTTGAAGTGAACATCCTTTATAGTGAGCACCATTATAGACTCTCCAACCGGAGAGAGTTGCGTCTTATGGCCAACCAACTGTCCGCCTTGACAACATGAGCGATTCGGGCGCAACTTGATGTTCTGCCAGAACAAGAGACCGAGACGGAACACCCGATCGAAACAGAGGGCGGCGACTGCGAACCACACATTATATCTGGCACTTACAGGAACATGAACGTAGACAAGCCATAGGAATATAACAGCCGCCAAGATGTGCTGAATGACGAAAACCTCGTATGCTATGGATCGCAACGGCTTAAAGGATGTGATGTTCATCCATAGTAGAACTCCCCAAGCGCCAAACCCGTACTTGACCATATCCATCATCCCAAGTTCAACGCCGACTATGTCGCTATCGACCCAGCCGGCAAAGAAACAGAAGCCATGTACGGTTGTAGTAATCAAGATGGTCCGGGCTGACCATCGGTGGAGCCAATTTAACCTCTCATAGCTGGTCCCGGTAATCAGGGCGATGACGTTGGTTCTAGAGGCTAACAGATAGAGGAGAGGCACCTGCGTAACGGTTACCCAAGCATTGCGATACCCTAACCTCTCCATGAAATTGACGTCTAGAATCACCGCATCTTTAAACATAATATAAATAATAGCGGCCCAATAGAGTAGGAGGAGGAAAATGTGGCCCATAGGTGGCGGTGTTAGCCATGTCAAGTTTCGGATCGGGACGTAAAGCTGTGGGTAGCTCATCTCCCTACAAACAGCAGTTAGGGTCGCCCATAGCTGCGAGCAGAAGTTCGTAGGCCTCGTAGGAAACCGCACTGAGTGTGATCTGGATCTGCGAAGTCTATACTTGAGGATTAGTCCAACAGGGTAAAATACCACTGATATTGCATGCGATTTAAAGGAAGTAGCTCACCTTGACCCATATAGGACGAAATTGATGATACGGATTATGAGAAATAGGACGAGGGCGGCTGCGACAAAATACCAGTAGCTTCTTGCATAGGCCTTGTTGATAATTGTGATATCACCACCCAGGGATGCGCTACCCATGTCCATATCCATCATATCCATGTTTCCCATTGCCATCTTGGATGCTTCCGCTTAGTCTTTGTCGAA